CTCTGTTTGGATTGATTTGGTTCGTTTTTAGCCTTCAGTCTAATAATTATAATGGACTATTTTGTGCTTTAGATATGGGTTGATTCTAAAAAATCAGAAACCAATAAACCTGTATTATGATTATAGAGTGACTATATTATTCACATTAGATCCTAGAAGTGTGACTAACTCAAAAAATGTAATCTTATAGCATGAATTTATGCAATTCAAAGAAGTGTCAAGGTAAATTGTATTCTCTCTCTCTCTCCATTCCCCCTTCCCCAGTAGCTCAAAATCATGCCATAATTTAGTTTGCTTCACATTTTGACCATACTTCCATTTTCAATTTTTCCTTGGAATTTTTATCTCCATTTTTAAAGCAATCCATGTTCAAAGTTTCAAAAGTAAAATTTTAACATGGAGCTTAAAATGGAAAACATTCTGCCCTTTCACTGCCCCCACAGTTCTCCTTAAAAGTGACCAACCATTCTGAACTCTTTCAACTCTCTTCTCAAGGATTGATTTTTATAGTTAATAAAAATATGCTTATACTGCTGTTTGTTATTTTCCAGTTGGAGCTGTTAGATTATTGACCCTCCGCTATATAGGATGAGGTTTTTGGGTCTCTTGCATGCTCTGCCCCGAGTTCCCACAAACACACACGTTGCACCATATGCATGCTTCTCCTCCCCGGTTCTTCCAGGGTATTTGTACACACATTTGGTTAAATCAGGAATCAGTGTTTGTATTATTACAACTCTCCGTTACACCTGAGCTGTATGTACCCATCATTTATCATCTCCAAATTCTCTGACCCAACTGAAAATCTCTGAATACATTGAAATGTGTCAGATATTCTGTTGATTTCATTGTTTTCTTGATGACACCCTTCCTCCTGCTCTCTTGCATCTCGTCGCCCTCCAGGCCTACCACACAGCTTATCATCTTTGCCCTGGGGACTCCAGTCATCTCTCCTGCATTGGATTTCCTATTTCCTGGATCCTCTTTCATGGTTTACACTCTCATTTAGGTACAACACCTCTTTCTGTACCTTCTCAAGAAAAAGATGCATAGGATGGAAAATTATTACATCTTGCATGTTTGAAAATATCCTTATTCTATCCTTGTATTTGACCGATAATTTTATGGGATATAGAATTTTAATCTGGAAAATACTTTGTCATAGAATTTCAAAGGCAATGCTTTCTTGCCTTTGTTGCCAAATACTGCTTTAGGTAGTCTGATAACCATTGTGATTACTAATTCTTGTCACGTGATCTACATTTTTCTCTCTGGAAGCTTTTAGATTCTCTTATGTCTCCAATGATCTAGAATTGCATGGTAATGTGCTTGGATGTGAATTTTTTTTCTTTTTTTTTTTTTTTGAAGTTTATTTACGTAATCTCTACATCTAACATGGGACTCAAACTCAGCCCTGAGGTCAAGAGTTGTATACTTTTCCAACTGAGCCAGCCAGGCGCCCCTGTTTTTTGTTTTTTGGGTTTTTTTTTTAACTAATGAGACAGACACCTAGTGGCTTTGGAAATGCATATGCTAAATTCTGAAAAACGTATTATTCTTTAGTAATCTCCCTTCTAGTTTCTTTGTAATCTCTAGAATTCCCATTATCCAGATGTTGGGTCTCTGATCTTCTGATTTTTTATCTTTTGCCTCCTAATTTCTCTGTGTAATTTTTTTGTTTACTTTGTGGGGGAAATGTTGCTAAACTTCCAAATTTTACAATATTTCTATATCTCCTATCAAACTTTTTAATATCCAAGAGGTTTTAATTCTCCTTTTTTAAGGTTTTAATGTTCCCTTTTCTGGGCATCCTGTTCTTATTTCACGACTGATATTATTTCATCTCTTTTCGTTCTGGCATTGCTTATTGCCTCTGAGTTTGTTCTGTTGTTTGATTGTTTTCTTTTTAATTTTGGTTTCTCTGTTTGCTAGTGGTTTTCCCCAAGTGTCTGCTTGTCCTGGACTATTCATTTATATTTATGAGTGAGAATTAAAAAGCTGACAGGAAGCTCTGTGAGCACTGATGGACACTCCCACATCGAGATCCAGGCATCCCTGGATAGTGATCGGACAGGAACTTGGCTATTTTAACTGTCAGTACCTGCAGTCACTTCTCTTGGATGATGGATTTCCTCAGAGAGGAATCTAACATACTGCTGCGAGCGAACGGGAGTGGGAGTGAGGGAGGGAAGCATATGCCCCTGCTTGCAGTATCTCAGAGAACGTGGTGGAGAGACCTTGGGGGTGGGGGGTGGGGGGGTCACAGTTCAGAAAGGAGACTCACTCAGTTTCTGTTCTCAGTTGTTTCTGGCATTTCCAATCAGGAGTCCCTCCCAAGAGTAGACCTGTGAGGCTGTTGCCTGGCTGCAGAGAATCTAAGGCTCTGTCTCATGTGCCAGTTGTCAACCATTCCATTAAAGGAAGTATCTGGAACCTTTCCAGGGTGCTGTAAATTACCTTGCTTGCTCAGATTAACTCCAGTAGGCATTTGGCTGTCTCCTCTCTTCTTAGACAGCCATCTGCTTTTCTGGTCCCAGAATCTGGTGGCCATCCCTTTTCTGCTATCTTTTTCTCTCTTGAGCCTCTTATCATTAAATTTTTTATCTTAAAAAAAAAAATCCTTTAGCTGTAAGTTTATTGGGAATTGGGAGGCAAATATATGTTCAACCTGCCATGTTTAAATGGAAAAAAAAAAAAAACAAACAAACCCTATTTAGGACCCTAATAAGGCTTCTGAATCCTTGTACCTCTGGAAGTCTTTATCTTGCCTTCACGCTTTATTGGTAGTTTGGCTGATAGAGAATGCTAGTTTTAAAATTATTTTCCCTTAGTTTTTGGAGGACTTATTCCATTAAACCTCAAGCATCCACGAATACTGATGAGATGTCCAGGTCTCTGTTTTCTAAACAACTTGAGTTATATATATGAACCTTCACTAGAATATTCTTAGAGGGTAGAACCAGTTTTGCATCGTTTTACGCATACCTAGATATGATGGCTACATTATTGCTGTTGGTATTCATGCTTAATTATTTATAGCAATCGCAAATAAAAACATCCCAAGAAAGATCGTAAAAAGAGAATAATGTGGTTATAGTTTACCTTGATCCTTTTTCTTTTTTTCCTCCCATCTCTTCTTTTTCATGCTCCCCTTCTGAGTGATCACCATTCCTAATTCTTTCCTTTGTCCTTCCTGAGTGGGTATACATATTTTTTGGTATATTTATTTTTGTTCAAATTACTTTCCACATACACTTTTGAAAATCAATCTGTTAAGTAATTCTACGATCTACACATCGTTGTAGAGTGTCTGTGGAAAGAACCCTAGCTGTATGATACTCACTGAGAAAGTATATCTGAGAAGAGGTCTCAAATACTCTGATCTTTAACTTTGAAAATTGAATTGTTAGTTCTTCTTTAGTCCCTTGGACTATAAGTTTCAGTCATGAATTGTTTCCTTGGACTCTGCTAGAATTAATAACAAGCTTCTCAAAACCATTATTTAATACTTAAGTCTTCTAGCCTATGAAATTCTTCTCAAGAACAGAAATAACAAAAGTATAGTTCACTGTGGGGTGCCTGGGTGGCTCGGTCGGTTAAGCGTCTGACTTTGGCTCAGGTCATGATCTCACGGTTCGTGGGTTCGAGCCCTGCATTGGTCTCTGTACTGACAGCTCGGAGCCTGGAGCCTGCTTTGGATTCTGTGTCTCCCTCTCTCCCTACCCCTCCCCCGCTCACACTCTCTCTCAAAAAATAAACATTTAAAAAAATAAAAAATAAAAAGTGTACTTCACTGTGAAAGTAATAAATGGCCAGCACTAGAAACTAAATACATAAGGTGAAAAATGATTTTATACAACTCAAATATGTTAAATGATAGAACACATCCTGGAACTATAAATACAGCATAGCTTTACCGCTGATAGTCTTTATATGTATGCCTATCACTTCTGAAGGATTTTTTTAAATTTTGTTTTTGGTGAAATTTTGTTCATTCTCTGACCAGTCCAGAAAATTGGGGTATTTTCTAGTCAAACAAGTCAAGACCTCTTAAAAATGTGAGCAGAAAGTTTATTAACTGGTATAAAAATTTTAAGTAACATTAAAATTACCCAGGAAAGCTTCAAAAATCTTGCTTTACAAATGTTAGAAATGGTCTTAAAATGTTAATACTGAACTTACAGTTTAAGTTTCCTAACCTTGATGAGACTCAAATTTTTTATTATTAACTTCTGAAGAATGTAATTTACCATAAAAACAACTCTGACAGTTAAATGAATATATAGTCAGAAATATTGCTACTCTCAGCATCAAATATCGAGGAATTTTTCCATCCCTAGTGATTTGCTATTGTCATTCTGTCATTACATGATAAGTACCAAGAAATGTGTATTTTAGTAAATCATTTGTTAGTGAATAATATCTTATACAAATGAAACAGAAGAAGTTTGAATTTTAAGATGCCGTTCTCCAGAGAAAATATCCTAGGTTTAGAATTTGTTTCAAAATTGTGGAAAGGGCTTAGCTTTCACGGCTGTCTCTGACATCATCTGGCTTTTCATCACAGCTGAGTCTGGCTGAGAGGCAGAGATTCGGCTCTGGGGCTGCCTGCTGAGTGACCAGTCCTCCCGGGTCCTTCAACAAGCCACCTTGCCTCTGCTTCACTGGTTTTCCAATTATAAGATAAGAAGACTAATACTTCTCTGTGTATGTGTGAGAGCATCACATTTGTAATAAAGTCCACGTCTTCCATCATTTATACCTCTGCCTTCCACCCCAAACATAAGAAAATGTATGCTGTAGAAAAAAAGCAGTAAGCCTACCTTGGTTAAACTTAGTTTGAACTGAAATCTGAAAGATTATTTTAGTCAGCATCAAGTTTTAAGCCTTGGAAATCATCTTAGACGCTAATGGTAAAATTTTCGCACTCAAACCATTGTTTCATCCGTTGGTGCCAAAATTCTCCTCGTGAAAGTTACCGCATTTAAGGAACTTGTGTGGACCTAGAATGGACGTGTGATTGGTCTTGTCAATTAACGAAAAACAATTTCTTCTTCAAAAAAGCATTTTTAACTTAGCTGTTGGTTTTCCATTACAAAATGCTTCCTAAATCTTAAACGACATGTCCTGTTGAAAATTACTTGTGACTATTTTCTTGAAATTATTCTTTCACAATTTATGGAATGATATATGGGCAATGTATATGTGACCGTGTGCATATACACCTGTATAACATATTTTAAAGTGAGAAGATTTTAAGAGATTACAGAATAGAAAGAAAGAATGCGACATTCAAAGCATGGATACCTTAAATGACAATTTAACCCACCAATACATGGACCATGTTGTAGTAATTTTAGTGCAAAGAGACATGTATTTTGTGTTGTGTGGGCCACCTCTTGAATGAGACTGACTCTGCAGAAGGCCAAGGACCACAGGAGCCTCGGTGTAGCAGAAATGAAAATAAAGGCACTACATATCTTCGGAACTGGCCCGTAAATTTTCTTTCTCTTCTTCAGAGTGTGGCAGTGACATGTGTTCAGGGACTTGGGCCAAACGGTTTTTGAAGGTTTATGTAGCACTGAACATGACTTGGTAAATATTTGGCATGTTTACAAACACACTCTGAAATATTTACATCGCCATCTATATAAAAATAAAGCTGTGAACAGCTGGACAAGAGCACTGATCTACTCGCCGAACTTTTTTCCAAGTTCCTTGACATCGAGGATTGCCAATTGCTTGCCAGTGGAGAGTTTGATTTCTGAAACGATATTTTGAAAATGGCAGTTACGCTAAAAGCAAACCAAAGAAAATTCTAATTTACAGAATTATAAATTGAGGGGTTTTGTTGTTGTTTAAAGAATGATTGTATTTGGAATTTTGAAGTGCATGACAAATTGAAATTTAAAAAAACAAAGTGATCACAAACTGAGCTTCCCTTCTTTGGGTTCTGTCAAAGCAAGTTACAAATTCATCTCTATTTGAGGACACCCTCGTTGAGAGAGCAGTTTGAGGTTACCGTGTTCATTTCTCTCACTTGATCTGAATATATGAAGTGTTACACAGAGGAAAATGGCTCCCTAGTTCATGTGTATTAAAATTAGAGGGCTCTTAGGGGCGCCTGGGTGGCGCAGTCGGTTAAGCGTCCGACTTCAGCCAGGTCACGATCTCGCGGTCCGTGAGTTCGAGCCCCGCGTCAGGCTCTGGGCTGATGGCTCGGAGCCTGGAGCCGGTTTCCGATTCTGTGTCTCCCTCTCTCTCTGCCCCTCCCCCGTTCATGCTCTGTCTCTCTCTGTCTCAAAAATAAATAAACGTTGAAAAAAAAAAAATAAAATAAAATAAAATAAAATAAAATTAGAGGGCTCTGCCCAAACGATCTTTTGTAATCACCTCCAACTCTTTGATTCCATAATGAAAAAAACAGGAGAAGCGGGAAGAGTGAAGCCAGATTATTAAAATTATTTTTTTTAAGGTCACTGGAAATTCAGCCAGGGTTCAAGGTACTTTATGGATACAAATTAAATTATAAGTTCATTTAAAGACAAAATATAGATGAGATATTCAGAAAAATTTAAGTCTGAATATCTGGTTTCTTACCCACTTTACTGCTCATGTCGTGTACTCCTTACAAAGGCTATTAGGCACAAGTGACTAATAAACATAAATTCAAGTTATTAAATATTAAAATACACTTTGGGAGTAATGACTAGCTGAGAAGGTTCACATTTTACCTTCTAATCTGTACTTTTACCAGTTCCACCTGATATACTTAAAACTGTAATCTACGTGCGACCGAAATTGGCCCTTGTCCAATAGCTGACCAGCATGAGGTCTACTCTTCTCTTGGTTAGGAATAGTGCCATTGGATTTAACTGATAAATGAGTACAAGACTGGGATAGATATTCAGGGTAATTAAATGTTTTCAGGGTCAATTCTTTTGGCCAATCCATAGGTTTCTATCAGTTTCTGATCCTGCAAACCTGCGCCCACCACCGTCTCAGCCGTGGTGTTATGACCATCCCACTGAGCAGTGGTTCTGAAACATCGCTGTGGGAGTGAATCATCTGGGCAGGGGTCAGCAAACCACAACCTATGGGCCAAATCCAGCCTACCTCTTGTTTTTGTGTGGTCTGTTAGTCAAAAATCGTTTTTTGTTGTTTGTTTTAAAAAGTCAAAAGAGGGGCACCTGGGTGGTTCAGTCGGTTGAGCGTCCGACTTCGGCTCAGGTCATGATCTCACAGTTCATGAGTTCAAGCCCCGCATCAGGCTCTGTGCTGATGGCTCAGAGCCTGGAGCCTGTTTCAGATTCTGTGTCTCCCTCTCTCTCTGACCCTCCCCCGTTCATGCTCTGTCTCTCTCTGTCTCAAAAATAAATAAACATTAAAAAAAAAATTAAAAAAAATAAAGTCAAAAGAAAATCAAAATAATATATCATGACACAGGAAAATTATATGAAATTCGAATCTTCGTGTCCACAGATACAACGTTAGAACAGAGCCAAGTGCATCTGTTCAGTGTCTGTGGCTGCTTCCATGCCATGATGGTAGTTGAGTAGTGAGACAGACCACACGGCCCCCAAAGCTGAGAGTATCTACTCTCTGCCAACTCCTGACCTCGAAGATTTTTAAAAATCCACCCCCAAAGACTCTGATTCCGTTAGGCTCACGTGGGGCTTGGGAATCCGTAGTTTTTAAATCAGCATCCAAAGAGGTTCGGATTCAAGTGGTTTTCAAAACACTGCTTTGGAGTGATCATGTTTTCAGTGGTCATTTGGCAGCATGGTCCAAACCAAGATCCAAATTTACCCATTCATCACTGATACAGAGCCTCTGAGTCCCGCAGTGTAAACGGGGCCCTGGATTCAGGAATTGCTAGACAGAAGATTCTCCTTACTTGGGTTTGGACTCCCAAATCGTGCGCTGATTTGCTGTTCATGACACAGAACAAATATCTCCAAATAAAAACCAGAAAGACCCTTCAGCGAATGTCTCTCCCTTACCCATCCGAGTCCAGGCCATCTCCAGAACAGCGAAGGCTCACAGAGTTCATAGCTGGGGGTTGGCAGTCCACACACACCGTGTACCCCTCCCGGAGATACTGCATCCATCGAGTCAGGGGTCGGTTTTCCAGAGCACAGTGATGAGTCAATGACTCAGTCTTGAACTCCATACAGTATCTAGAGCCAAAACAAAAACAAAACCAAAAACCCACAAGAGTTGCAAGTGCTGTCATTAGCAGTAGCCTAATGCCGCAGAAAGTCTCAGGAAGCCTGCAGGCGCCGAGGATATGTGACAGACTGGAGAAGGTAGCGCCGGGCACTTTCCCAAGCTACGGCACCAGTCACACGATGCCTTGTCAAGCCTCTCATTTGCCGAACGAAGACGATGGGTGATGTCCGACTGGCAACCCCAGTGAAGTGTGTGGTGCTTTTCCAAACCATGATCGAATGACCTGGTCAATGTGAATTTGCAGAAATTTGGATACCCTGTATCCCATCTAGTCTAACCACCAAATTGTGTGTAAAAAGCATATTTCCGTAGGAAAATGGCCCTCAATAACTTTGCTGATATCTTAGAGAATGATAGAAATCGAATAAGAACTGGCTTGAGCTTGAAAACATGTAAGCCCCCGGAGAGCTTGCCCTCGATGCCCCGAGCAGCACCCAGGCTTTTCTGGCCCCGAGGGCCCTCCCTACGCACCCCACCGGCTCACCTGCGTGATTGGCAATGAGGGTGAGTTTAGACTCGAACCCAAGCATCACAAATTGGGCATCACAGATATTGGGCATCGCAGATAAAAGGAAATGGGAAGCGGAGATGTTTTTCTGTGACAGAGGCTCGTGTCGCCTTATGCTGAACTGTGGAAATCTCTGCGTGACTGGACTCCAAAAGCCCGGGGGGGAGCATCCAGACATGGGTGAATATTTTAGAGCCTTGTGCTAAAAAGCAACATGATTTTACAATTCTTCAGGGAAGCAAAACATATTAAAACTCCTGCACGTTGCATTTTCAGTTCTAATTAAGTAAGCTACAATGGGCTAGTTTCTTATCCATGGAATTATGAGCTGTCCTAGGTTAGATGGAAAGCGACTGGAGAGTCTGCTTCAAAGAGCTTTAACAGTGCTAGGCCGTTTACTAGGTACCTTTAGGTCCTGAGGTAGGAAATTCTATGACGCAGCTTCAATCAACTTTCGACAGACAGCTTAACCCAGACGTCTCTTCATTATTTTCTCATTAAATTCTCCTAACAACGCCATGTGGTAGGCATTAATATTCTCATTTTTCAAGAAGAAAAACCGAGGTGGGACAACATCTCCAAGGTCTTACGGCTAGTGAGTGGCCGTGTGGAGGTCTGAACATACAACTGTCTGGTGTCCCTATGCTGAGCTGAAGAGCGGACTGCAAGTAGGCCCAGAGCTCCCTCCCAGCCTGTGCCTTCCTTCTTGATAAAAATCCTCAGAGCTGAGGTGTGGGCCACATTCAAACACATGGGTGCTGGTGTCCGTGTTCCCATAATGACTATAAGAGGAACATCCTTAGTATGATTGAGAAAGTGATATCCTCATTTTATATAGCGTGTTTCTTGTTGATCAGACCTCAGAGACAAATCTTTGCAGCCCCACAAAAACAGGGCCCAGCCCTGTGGTAAAGAATCACATTTTATCCAGAGTCAAAGAACAAGTAACAGAAGAAAACCCATCACACCTACTTGACCTTTATGGGCTGACTTGACCATACACTGGAAAAGCAGGAGCTGAAAAACTCAACCCAAACAATACAAAACAAAAACAGCAAATTACCCGCTGTCCTCTGTGTCTGTAGACCACTGTGGAGATGTGGATTGTCGTGTTCTCTCCTTGTTGAATGCAGAGGTAGTTATGAAGGCAGGGACTAGAAAAGAGAGAATGGCATTGCACACGTGCAGCCTAAAGCCCTCAGAATGACCTTTCCCAAACTTGGCGTCTGTCCTATCGAGAGCCCCCCATCCCTAAGTACAAAGGTCCATGGCACACCACCAAGGACTGAGACGAGGCCAAGGTACAGTGTCCCCAGAACCCAGCTCAAAGACTGTGTGGACACAGACGGGCAGCTACAGGCAGGCTTGTCCGCGGTAACAAGTGACACTGTGTGAAAAGGGGGCCAGGGTTAAAAAAATACAAGAGGAAGCCATAAAAGATGCAGAGGAAACCAAGGGGGAAAAGGGAGAGAAGGTTTTTTTTTTTTTTTTTTTTTTTTTTTTTTTTAATGAAAGGAAGAAAAATAAAAGAGAAAAGGGAAAGATAGGAAGAACAAAGTAAGGGAAGAGGAGGAAGACAAAAGAGAGAGAAAGGGGGATGTAAGGAGAAAAAGAGACAACCAGAGAGAGAGGAAATGTGAAAAGGAGAAAATGGAAGTAGCAGAGGAAGGAAATGTAAGTGCCCCCCCGGGTCTCTGCAACAGCAGCCTGGAAGCCTCGCTGCCTGCCCCATGGTCTCAGAGTGACTGCCTAGTGCCGGCCAGCACATCGTCCTCCCCGTGCCAACCCTCAGCCTCGGAGAAGGAAAGTCAGTTTGGCCCTCTCCTCCTTCCTGTCCCCAACCCCAACCCAACTCACTGCTCTAGACAGGAGAGAAGAAAGGGAGCCAGGAATCCTCGCCTCCCACCTCTGCTCTCTTCTTTCACTGATTTTGTTTGTGCGTCTCCTTCCTATTTGCTGCTAAGTGTGGGGAGGCATCTGTTCCTATGTACAGTATAGCACCTGGAGATAACCTCCCGATGCCACTCTGCTGTCACCTCAAGAAAGACAAGGCTTTGCCCTTCCCATCCCTGTGGTCCTCACACGTTTACGCACTTAGCAAGCATGAAGGCAACGGATGGTGGCCTGGTGGGTGAATGATGTCACGGAATCGCCACTGGGACACACAGATCCTACTTCCCTGTGGTCTTCTGTTCCCACACTGAGCCTTGCGGCCGAGATGGCTCAACAATCCTTCCTCCCTTTCGTTTCAGAAACTGGACCATCCCAGGAAGGGCAGACACCAGCTGATGTTGGCTTGCGCGATGCCAGAGTCATCGTGAGCAAGCTGGACGAGGGTACCAGCTGGAAAATAGATGCCTCGAGCCGACATGCTCACTTTACCTGGCTCCTTGTTGCCACAAGATGGCAGCCCTAATTCTTTTTTAGATTTTCTTAAGGAGGTTTTTTCATATTCCTGGGGAACGGAACGCAGGAGCGGCCTCATACCTGGTGGCCTTTTCCTCCTACGAGTTGCAGGTATTGTTTGTGTCCTGGGTGCTTTGGTGCTCAATCTCTTCAGTCCCATCTAGCGCGAGCCCTCAGAGTCTCAGCTGTGAAGCTCTGTGGCTGCGCTAACGTGTTTCATTGTTTTCCAGAGAACACGCCCCTCTTTCCAAATGTGACCGTGGCTTTGGAACTTCCAAAATCCACGGAGAGAATCGAAAAGAACACGTAAGCGCGTGTGTGTTAGGATCCTGCCGCCTCCCTCAGACCTCGTCATCCGAAACACGAACATCTGAAGGATGCTCGCTTTCCCACTGGTTGTTCCCGTTTCTGTCCTTCTGCCGCGTTTCCCAGCTTATTCAGTGAGTGGACGATTCAATTGCTGCTAAGTGCACGCGGCCTTGTACCAAACTATGACATTTTCGGGATGTGTTTCTTTAGCTCAAAACATTTGATCTCCTCGTTTGTACTGCATGTTTTATTACAAAAGTTCAAAGGCAATGCACCTAATATATAGTTGGGGGGGGGGGGTGCGGTGCGCAGGGAATGAGGTTAGGAAGGAGAGGGCAAGAATAGGACTATAATATCTGATATCAAATCCTTTAAAAAAGCGCTGTCATAATAATAATGATGAAAGTGAACAGTGACACCCTTCTAGGTTTCCAGGCATAACGCTGAGCACCTTTCATGTGTTAATGCCTTTGACTCTTACAACAGCCCTCTGGGATAGGTGCTATTATTTCCCCCATTCCACAGATGGGGAAACTGAGGCACAGAGAGGTTGAGGAGCGTGTTTAAGGCTCCCGTCTAAACATGGCAGGGTCAGGCGGTGTCTCTGAACCCACGCTGTCACTGCCTGGAGACTAATGTCATGTGGATCACAAGGTTTCACTATTTTATGCAGCATATCTCCTATGAATTGCTTACATTCTGCTTTATTTTCCCTTTCTGTCCCTAATCGCTATCTTTAACATGAAGTAACCTTTAAAAGAGGAAAAGAGGGGGCCCTGGCTGGCTCAGTCGGTTGAGTCTCCAACCGACTCTTGGTTTTGGCTCAGGTCATGCTCTCACAGTTCAGTTAGTGAGTTCGGGCCCTGAGTCGAGCTCCTCTTGAACAGTGCAGACAGAGCCTGCTTAGGATACTCTCTCTCTCTCTCTCTCTCTCTCCCTCTATGCCCTCCCCCGCTCACACTCTCTCTCTCTCTCAAAATGAATAAACTTTAAAAAAGTAAATAAAGAGGAAAGGGGACTTGGTGAGCCCTTTCCCAAGTCCCCTCAGGCCCCAGGAGAGAGGGAGGGGTGGCGTGGGAGCTGTGGCCCTGGAGGGGTGGGGCAGGCTCACAGCACAGATTAACGCCTGCTAGGACAGCACCTTGTATGCTTACAGCCTGCTTATTTACAAAGTACCTTCTCCTCATGTGTCACTGGTCTTCACAAAAGCTTTATACAGAGAGGTGCCACGAATGAGGTGCTCTCGGCAGAAAACTGAGGCTCAGACAAGTTAAATGAAGGGAAAATACATAGTAAATGATGAAGCAAGAATCCCAACACGGGAAATAGCTTCTGGTTCTTAAGATCTACCGTCCACATTCGGTGTCAAACCTCTGAGGGTATGACCCATCATAAAAGCAAGCCAGTGGGGCACCCGGGGTGCTCAGTCGGTTAAGCGTCCGATTTCAGCTCGGGTCATGATCTCACAGTTCGTGGGTTCAAGCCCCGCATCGGGCTCTGTGCTGACAGCTCGGAGCCTGGAGCCTGCTTTGGATTCTGTGTGTGTGTGTGTCTCTCTCGGCCCCTTCCCTGCTCATGCTCTTTCTCTCTCTCAAAAATAAAAAAAATTAAAAAAATTTATTTTAATAAAAGCAAGCCAGTAACTCTGGGACTTGTCTCTTCTGTGTCCTAACCCCTCAAGACCTGGGCGTGGTTTGGTGGCACATTTTGCAGACAGGGGGCACTTTCTCCCCACATGAGTCTTCAGAAAATAGACCAGGAGCCAGATTGCCTGGAGGTCTCTGACCCAGCACCGCTTTTTAATATTAATTTAATTTAATTTCCATTACTTAAGAGTGGTAAGTAATTTAGAAATTATTTTTGCCTTCAGTTCCACTGCAGCTTACGTGTGGAAGAACGTAGCCGGGTGCCCGGGGACAAAGGCTCTCAATAAAAGCTAGTTCCCCCTCCTTTTCCCTTCCTGGCAACAATATTCAAATGTAATAGAGTCTTTGTTAAGAGGCTATTTGCCAACTTTTCTGGCATCCTTTCAGCCTACCATTGTTCGGTTTTATAACAACTCGACTTCTAAAAGCGTGGCGCGGCACATACTTACTTTGAACATGAAAGTAAATTGAATTTGCTTAGAAAATTTCATAAAGTCCTCTGACACAATGGGGTGTCCCCAAAGAGGCTTAGAACCACTGGTCTCTAGGTACAGTGTAAACGAGGACAGAAGGAGAACATGACAAAACACCAGCCTGGACACATACAGGTTATGATACACATCGATCTCCTTTCAGAAGGAGTCCATATGTACAACTAATACAATCATATGGCTTTTTGGATTTGTTTTTATGATAAAAATATAGTCAAGATATGCATTAAAGGAAACGGGACAAATTCAATAGCTACTTGATCTTCATTAATAAGAGAGCTTCAGGGATGGGGTTTCATTCACTGGCCTCACAGGGCCTCCCTATTTCTACTCATTTACCAGAACCTGTAATTGCAATTTTATTTTATTATTATTTTAATGTTTATTAATTTTTGAGAGAAAAACAGAGCAGAAGAGGGAGACACAGAATCCAAAGCAGGCTCCAGGCTCTGAGCTGTCAGCACAGAGCCCCAATGTGGGGCTGGAACTCACAAACCATGAGATCGTGACCTGAGCTGAAGTCGGACGCTCAACTGACTGAGCCACCCAGACGCCCCTATTTTATTATTATTTTCTAAAATTTTTATTTATTTATTTTGAGAGCGAGAGAATGCATGGGCAAGAGGGGAGGGGCAGAGAGAGAGAGAGAGAGAGAGAGAGAGAATCCCAAGCAGGCTCCATGATGTCAGCACAGAGCCCCATACGGGGCTCGTTCTCATGAACCATGAGATCATGACCTGAGCCAAAATCAAGAGTTCGATGCTTAAATGACTGAGCCACCCAGGAGCCCCTATAACTGTGATTTTAGCTCTAATGATAACAGGAACAGCAAAGCAATATCAGGAAGAAAAACCCTGGGGCCCCTGGGTGGCTCAATCAGTTAAGCATCCGACTCTTGGTTTCAGCTCAGGTCACGGTCTCATGGTTTGTGGGATGGATCCCCGCATCGGGTTCCATGCTGTCAGGGAGGAGCCTGCTTGGGTTTACTCTCTTTCCCTCTTTCTCTACCCCACCCACCCCCACTCAAAATAAATAAATAAAACATAAAATTTTCTCTCAAAATAAATAAATAAACTTAAATTGTGTTTTGTTTTGTTTTGTTTTTTGTAAAGAGGGAAAACCCCACAGGATTTAGAGCCCTGGGATCCAGGGTTAGATTCTGGAAGTCCTTCACAAATGCTGTCACCTCCCTGAGCTCCAGTGTCCTCTTGGTTTCAAGGATAATGATGCTATTCTACCTCCAAGGTAAGCAGAATAATGGCCTTTCAAAGGTGTCCACATCCTAATCTCCAGGACCCGTGAGAATATTATGTTATTTCATCAAGAAGAAGGAAAGTTGCAGATGGAATGAATGGTCGACCTTAAAATGGGGAGATTATCCTGGATTTTCTAGATGGGCTGAATCACAAGAGTCCTTCAGAGAGGAAGTCAGAGGATGTTACTACAAAAGGAAGCACAGACAGATGCAATGCAGCTGGTTGTGAAGATGGAAAAGGGGGCATGAGGAAAGGAATGTGACAGTCTCTGGATGATGGAAAATGCAAGGAAATGGACTGATTCTCCCCCAGAGCCTCCAGAAAGGAACACAGCTCTGCCAACACCTTGATGTTAGCCCAGGGAGACCTGGGTTGAACTTCTAGCCCACAGAGCCCTAAGATAATAAAGTTGTGTTGTTTTAAGCCACTAGGTTTGGGGTAGTTTGTTACAGCAGCCACAGGAAACGAATAGGCTCTCCTACAGGATTGCTACGAACACTGAATCAATAATGTCTATAGGAGCTCTCTGCCGTGAAAGTGTGAGGGATTGCTACTCCATGCACCAAAGGCTCCCGCTCTGTGCATAGAGTCTAGTAGGGCGCGGGGCATAACAGGTGACCACACAGCAGGACAGAGAGCCCCCGGGGGAGGTGGGTGCTCCTTCGCCACGCTTCCACACCAATCTGAGCATTCTTCTATCATGGCATTTGCTCATCACCCTGAGTTACTATTAGCCGTGATATGTTTGTTGTTCAAGTCTGTTTCTCCAGACCCCAGCACAGTGCTGGCTGTTGTTAACACTCAGTGGATCTTAAGTGAATGCATAGGAATCACAGTGACACAGGGCTTAGGGCAATCCACCAAATCCGATTTTCATGTCACTGCTCTGATTTCCCTTTTGTGGCCCATCATTTTCCAAGGTGCATTCCACAGAACACTAATGATTCACTGAGATCCCCTTGGGAAAAGGGTCATTAATTTTTTTTTAATTTTTTAAATGTCTATTTATTTATTTTTTAAAGAGAGTGAGCAGGGGAGGGTCAGAGAGAGAGAGAATCCCAAGAAGGCTCCATGCTGTCAGCACAGAGCCTGATGTGGGACTCGATCTCACAAGCCGTGAGATCATGACCTGAGCCAAAATCAAGAGTCGGAGGCTTAACCCCTTAACCGACTGAGTCACCCAGGCACCCTGGAAAAAGGGTCATTTATTCAAATAAGGGGGGAAAGCAGCCCATATCATATCTCCCTCTTACAGAATGAAAATGGTTATTAGCATAATAAAGCCTCTGAGAAGTTCTTCCATAGAGAAAACTGTCCAATTTATCCCACATTTTCCTGACCTACACCCTGTTTTGCATTGGCAAGCTTCTGCCTTCAGGAAAGTGTCATTTAAGTGATCCAGCCATGAGTCGGGACTCAGGGAAGAACCACTAGCCATACTTGGGTGAGAGCAGTGGTTCTGGAACCTCGGTGAACAGCAGAATCCCCTGCAAGCCTTGTTACAGGCACAGTGCTAGGCCTGACTCCAGCCATTCTCATCTCGTGGGTCTGGGTGGGGCCCTGGGAACTTGCATTTCCAACAACTTCCCAGGTGAGGCCGATGCGGCCGGCTGGGGACCCCACTTTAGGAACCACCAGACTGGAATATTTGAGGAGTCCTGTCCCCCCTGACAAGCTTGTGACAGCAGTCATCATTTCTAAGACATTACAACAGGAAAGTGCATCTCAAGGACCAAAGTAGGGCTGCAAATGCCAGTGCCCCTGGCACAGGTAGAGATTTCGCCTCTCTTCCCAAACTGGATTTCACCTTACCTTAGTAGGAAAGGAGGCCACTGAGTCCAGATTTCTCCTGTTGGTGTTAGTTCAAAGTCACTAACACTTTATGGGGAGTCACATATGAACACTGCTGTTTTAGAAAGTCCTCTTACTGGAGTTCGGTGGGAGGGGTAGGAGACAGGGAGAGGACATGAGGAGGAGGACAGGCCCGTGGGCTGTGCCAGAGGACAGAGGAGCAGCCACCTCCAGGCAGAGAGGAGACCCCCAGGGGGCAGGGGGCGGGCTCAGTGCTCCCTGGTGCCCTTGCTCCATGTTCCATAGCCTTCCCTTCCCTGGCCTTCCTGTCTGTCTTCCTGTGACCTGAACTAAGCCAAAGAGATACGGAGAACCGGGCTTCGAAGCGGTCTGTGGCAGCCTGGTGAGCACTGAAGGGTCAAATGTACTTCAGAAATACTTTCTACCAGCCAAACCCTGTAAATGAGCAAAGTGGCTGCTTTCCTGATACACCAACACTAGGTTTTAAGAGGCATTCAAAAAATCAGTAATGTCCTAGAGCGACTTCCTCCCTGAGCATTTTCTACAGTGCTTCTGCAGAGCTCACGAGCTGAATGTGATTTTGTTCCATGACCGCGTCTGTGAACACTAAACTATTTCCCTGGGAGTCGAATCTGACTGCCGTATCCATGAGAGGCCGCCGCCCTGGCCCTTCCGCTACCCACTCCTCTACCAGACCAATAGTTTCTTTTCTTTTCTTTTTTTAATATTTATTTGTTTATTTTTGAGAGAGAGAGCGTGAGCAGGGGTAAGGGTGGGAGGGGGGTGGGGGGGACAGAGAATCCCAAGCAGGCTCTGTGCTGTCAGCGCAGAGCCTGATGTGGGACTCAAACTCAGAAACCATGAGATCAGGACCTGAGCCGAAACCAACAGATCGACACTTATCTGACTAAGCCACCCAGGCGCCCCCAGAGCCATATTTTCAAATCACAGCTCTGACCACAGCAGAAAATGCTACAGTGGCTCTTAAGATAAAGACCAAAATCCTAAACAGGGAGCTCTGGGGCCCTGTACTGAGGGGCGGTGTCAGTACAGATGCTTCTTCTCTCAATGCCAGCCTCACTCTCTGTGCTCCCCAGACTCTGGCCTTCCTTCAACTTCTCAGATGGGCCTTGTGCTTCCCCATATTATACAAATGAGCCAAAGAGGGTCCCTAGGTTATTCACTTCCTCACAGCAGGCTGAGACCTGTTAGCTCCAAAGCCTCCTGGCAGCAAACTCAAATTTTTATGCATCCAATTGTTTTTAAAAAGTGCCAAACAAGCAGATTTTTAGCCATTTAGGCCCTGCCTGCCTTTCATACCCTGTGAAACTACAGCTGGCACCTGTGGGCCATTGATGAGCTTAAAACCTTGTAGATGTAAGACCCCAAGCTGCTCCCACCCCTGCTCTTTGAAACTCTGCCCCAGACACTCCACATCGTGCTGGAGTTGACATCACTTAGACACAGACCCCTGGCGGATTCCTCTTCTCCCTTGTTGGATGGTGGTCCCCACAACAAAGCCTCTGCACTCCCCCTTTTCCTGCAACACTGTCCAAGCACTGCCTGATAAAGCTTACTGCCTATTACCACCTCTTGTGGTCAACCCCCAAATCCCCTGAAGCCCCTATACCCGATATCTGGTTCACCATGCCAGTCTCTGCCTGGAAAACTCTAGGCTTCTCAGCCTTACCTCCCCATGCTTAGGGAAGTCCCTTCCCCTCCCCCTCCTGTGGTTCCCCTCCTCCCCCAAGACCAGGGGAAACCAGCTTATTACATACACGCTTGCTCAGAACATCTCCCCCTTGTTTGGTTCCAGTTGCACCAAATTGCAGCTGTAATTTTCTGGGATTACTTTCCTAAGATCATCTGATTATCATCTTCCCCTGGCACCAGACTGTGAGCCACAGGACAGCATGCTCCAGGCCAGCGTATGTCACCAGCGTAGCCCTGGCACCAAGCCCAGTGCCTGGTATCAGGCAGACTCTTAATAAGTATTTGTGCACAGAATGAAAAAAAGGGCCAAGATGGCTTGATGAGGCCATCAAACGTTGGCCTCAACGTATGACGTTGGCATAAAAACGTCCAGGTTCCTATGAAAAACATACGATCTTTGTGATCCTGAGAAGGCAGTGTTTTCCTCCATCAGATTCAATCCAGATCAACACATGGTCGGTAGCCCTTTCGCTTATTTCTTTGTCCGCTTCCCATGGCTCCCAATTCATTCGTGAGCCGACTTCCGGTCCCTCCATTGGCCACACCATCACCAGCATGATCTTGCCAAATCACAAATCTGATCACAACAGCCCCAATTCAGCCAGCTTGAGAGGAGAACTGGGGTTTTAGGAGGGTAATTTGACATTGTTTAGAAAGTAATCATTTTTCTACTACCTTCACACGTGTATGATGAGTGTACCTGACTGAACAGGAATTAAAAGGGCAAGATGGATGGTTACCCTTAAGGGGCACTTACTCCAGTGTGAAACGCTGTCATGCTCCCTGAAGTCGCCGCCTTGAGTTTGCCACAAACCACAGTGCACATGTCCTTTACCCCGAGCGCGCACAGAGAGGAAGGGGCCACCACTGGGTTATGAAAACACCGAGGGAGGGCGGCGTGGCCTAGGGAGGCACCGATGCAGCTGACACTCATTCCTTTATCAAGCATTTCCCGAGCTTCCTGCCTACTCCGGGCGGACCGGCCCAGCCCACTGCCTGCAGCGCACGGAACTTTCCCCGCTCGGCTCAAGGCCTTTTACGGGACAAGACATGGACAGTCACGACAGACAGCGAAGGCAGCCACCACCGCGAAAACCTCAGTACCGAAGGAGTGCCCGCAGTCCTGGCCCCGGGGCGTCGAGTAGTCCAGGCAGCCGGCTCTCTCTTCCAGGGGCGGGCAGGGCGCGCCGCCGTTCCGAGGCTCCTGCCGCACCGGGCGCCTCCGCACGCGGGCCGCCGGCTTGCACTGGTCCCCGCAGCCGCTCCAGGGGCTCCACTCCCCCACGATGCAAGGGCGAGCTGAAAAACAGCACGGTGGGATGGGACGCTCACCTGGGTGAACCCAGCGGCCTCCAGGCTGCTCCCGCCAACATCCACAGGCCAGTTCGGCCCACGCAGGCCGCGCCCCGGAGCAAGGAGGGACACAGTCACAGCGGGGGCTCAGATGACACGGCCTCCACCCGCCCTGATGGTTAGCTGATAACCGGCACCTCTCGGTGGCGGGCCGGCAGCTACTCTGGGATCCTGACCGTGGCTCTGAGCCAGGGACGCACCCCAGGTAAAGAGTGACGCCTGCCTTCGGGTACTTCCTCATACTCCTTGGGCTTAGATAAGATCTTTGCTTCTGTTTTTCCTAGATTTTCATTTCATCCTCCCCTGCCCAGAACATTTTCATTGTAACAGCAGTACATGTTCATTGTAGAATACGTAAAGGGGAAAAAAAATAAAATTCCCAAGTCAATTCTTATCCCCATCGTGTGTCCGTAAGACATGGTTTAGGGCCACACCAAGGGACCTCTACACTTGAGGCTTCTCTTAGGTGCTCTATCATCCTTTATGCCTCTTAGACCCCGAAACTGTGAGGGCTGGAGTTTAAGGAAGAGCAACCAGAACCCACAGAAGTAAATAGTATTCATGGTCACGCATGACGAAGCAGAGTCGGGGGCAAGAATTTGGCTGTGGGGACAATGCTCTGGCCAGGACCGGAAAATCAATGCGGTTGTACATTTAACTTTCCCATTTAAAGTCCTAATGAAACTTTTAAAAAGACTCTAATGGGTTTTTAGGTGGCTTGAAACTGTAGCTAAGAAAAGAATAAGAAAACAAAAGATGTACCTATGAACTAGAGACGAAAACTCTTTTTCTCACAAAATGTGACCCACTTTCCCTACTATGTTCATACTTTCAAGCTTACAGCGTCTTCACCAAGAAAGCACTGTAACTTCTCTGAAATCTGGATTTGGACTTCTCACAGCTTGTACTTGAAGACTAATTTGGACCCACAGTGCTCTCCGGTTGAGGATTCATGGATGTGGGAAGACCGATCGTTCGGCAGCACATAGCTAACCCTGACATGAAAAGGGTCACATACAACATAAACATGTCAGTAATTCAAAAACTTCAGACTGTTGTAAAACATGCATTTATTCATCATCTAAAAACTCACAGGCACCACATGTCAAGTACCTAAGGGAGCAAGAATGAGGCACATGAGACTGGTTCCCAATCCCTGCTACCCGCATATCCTTCAGAAAATCAGTAACAGTCCACTTCCTGCTCCGGTCATTTCTTGTGGATTCCTCCCCTTTTATTTTCACAATCCCATGATTTAATTGGGCCATAGAGCTAGCGGGATTTAAAAGAGTCTGCCGGGCTAGGAGCTGACTGAGAAGGACTCCTTCTGTCCTTAATTCTTCCAAAACTCTGTCACCCAAATCTCTTCATCCCTGAATCTAGTTAGTCTTGCCCTGATGTGTTGGCCTTGAACGCTTAATAATGCACTTTATCTGTTTTTTTAAATTATTTTTTAGGGTTATTTATTTTGAGAGAGAGAGTGGGGAGGGACAGAGAGAGAGGGAGAGAGAATCCTAAGCAGGCTCCGTGCTGTCAGTGCAGAGCCCAACGTGCGGCTCGAACACATAAACCATGAGATCTTGACCCAAGCTGAAATCAAGAGTTGGATACTTAACTGACCCAGACACCCCTAGTAATTCACTTTAAAAAACAAAACACTTGGGGCACCTGGGTGGCTCAGTCAGTTAAGCGTCCGACTTCGGCTCAGGTCATGATCTTGTGGTTTGTGAGTTCGAGCCTGGCGTCGGGCTCTGTGCTGACAGCTCAGAGCCTGGAGCCTACTTTGGATTCTGTGTCTTGCTCCCTCTCTGCCCCTGCCCTGCTCACGCTCTGTCTCTCTCGGTCTCAAAAATAAATAAAACATAAAAAAAAAAATTTTAAATAAATGAAAAACAAAACACTTATTTCAAAGATTAACATTGGACATCACTGTAAAATAAAAATTTTCCATGGCATTAGCTCAGAATTTAGTGATCTGGCCTTGGTTTGAATACATGGTATCCATATTATAAAAGATGACATTGGAGACACTTTTCTGACTGAATTTAGTTTCCCGGTATCTCTTCAGCATTTGTGTCTCATGTGCAATGTTTAGTTTGACCCATAGTTAACGTCCTCAGATCACAGAATCACTGAATCAGTTGTTGTTCCTGTCAGTTCAGGTTTGACTTTGCAAAACACTAGGTCTCTGGTTTCCAATCCATGACTTTAACAGCCTCATAAAGAAAACCAGAAAGTTCTGGGTCCTGAACATCATCTCGATGGCTTCATTGTAAGATAAAATGAAAAAAGTTCACCTAGTAAAAGTTCACGACTAAAAAGATGTTCTGCAAAATATTTTGAGTTGGAAGAGGAATCTGAGATATTTATTCCTATTCTGCACAAAAGATTATATTCATGATTAATTTGTGAGCTTTAAAAAAATTTATTTTAATGTTTATGTATTTTTGAGAGAGAGACAGAGAGACAGAGCATGAACAGGGGAGGGGCAGAGAGAGAGGGAGACACAGAATTCGAAGCAGGTTCCAGGCTCTGAGCTGTCAGCACAGAGCCCAATGTGGGGCTCGAACTCACGAACCTGGAGATCATGACCTGAGCCAAAGTCAGATGCTTAGCCGACTGAGCCACCCAGGCGCCCTTAATTTGTGAACTTTTGATTGTTTGGGTTGCAATTCATCATAGATCATGAGAGATCTTTGGTCACGGAGGCTAGGGGAAGTACGGGAATTTCTGACAGATTTATCATTTCAAGTCATATATTACAACTGCATGACACAGGTTTCCTGTGAACTCGTCCATTAGTATTCACATCTATAGCCAGCATATCAAAATATTCTTTCTTAAAATCTGACTTTCTCAATCTTCACATTTCACTAGCTGTTACTGGAGGTCAACAGACCTGGCGAGCAACATGATCGTCTCTGACTCCAGGCTTGTCACAGCTTCCCAATGTCCTAATGGTTAGAGTTTAACGACATCATCCCACCCCTTGTACAATAAAACAAAGCTTAGGTTTAGTGGATGCCAGAATGCTGGGCAAGCCGTTTTCTTTCTTCCTTTGTTTCAACTCCATGGATTTGAATGCAAGTAACTTATTTGGGAGGTGGTCCCAAGGAGTGTAATAAGAACAGAGACAGAGAAGGAGACACTGAAGAGAACAGAGACATAGACCCCCTGCTTTAGGCCCAGTGGGCACCCCTGACTCCCAGCAACCTACGAAGTGGGATAATGGATAGATCCAGACTCAAGGATTATCAAATCCTTCCTGAGGTACCGGCTAGTCCCCTCTCCTCGAGAGCTTTCTGGTTATCAGATGTTCCTACCACAGCCACAGGGAGAATGGCCAAGAACAGTGAAGTGAGTTATATATTTCAGTAAGGAATCTGCACAAAAAAAGAGTTGAGCACATTTCACATGTCCTAACAGGGGTATCCAGTCATTTCCAAGTACAATTACCTTACCAAAGATACCACTAATCTTTAAAAATAGAAGAAGAAGAAGAAGAAGAAGAAGAAGAAGAAGAAAGAAGAAGAAGAAGAAGAAGAAGAAGAAGAAGAAGAAGAAGAAGAAGAAGAAGAAGAAGAAGAAGAAGAAGAAGAATAGTAAATGGCTTTTTAAACTCTCTTAATGGTTTGCTTTTGAATTTGGAATAAAATCAAACTCTTTGCTGTGGCCTACAAGGTGCTGTATGACCCAGCCTGTGTCCCTCCCCCGCTCACCTGGAGTTGCCCCCCCACCACCCCCACCCCACCTCCACTCCAAGCTCCAGCCATGCTGGCCTCCTTACACCAAACTCTGTCACACTCTGGAAGCTTGTTATGTGTTCCCTCTGCTGGGATTGTTCTTCCCACATTGGGCATGGCTGGGGTCGGTTCATTCCCTAGGTCCCAGATGAATTATTTCCTTTTTTTTTTTAATGTTTATTTTTGAGAAAGAGAGAGAGAGCGAGAGAGAGAGAGAGAGAGAGAGAGAGCGCACAAATGGGGGAGGGGCAGAGAGAGGGGGAGACACAGAATCTAAAGCAGGCTCCAGGCTCTGAGCTGTCAACACAGAGCCCAACATGGGGCTGGAACTCATGAACCATGAGATCATGGCTGAGCCAAAGTTGGACTGTTAACCAACTGAGCCACCCAGGCGCCCCCAGATGAATTATTTCTTTTTCAGGGAGTCCTTCTGTGGCCAGTTTATCTAAGTACTCTCCCAGTACCACCCCCAGCCTTCCACTTGCCACACCACAAAATACTTCCTCTCAGAGCTCAGTGTTCCCTGCTTTATAATATTTCCATGATTCATAATTATATAGCGTACATATTTATTTATTGTATTTATTGTCATTGAGCTTTTCATTTCATGCCTCGTGCTTGGTACTTGGTAGCTGCTCAGTAAATATTTGTTGAATGGATGGATGGACAGACGGATAGACAGATGGATGAAATGGCATTGGACAAATTCATCCTCCTTCCTAAACAATTTTCTATGTTGAAACCGATTCTGGTTTGCTCCTATCATTAGTTAGAAGCCAAAGAACTGACTCAGGCTTCAGAGTGGGAAGGAAAGCTGGTGGAAGGACAGGAGCAAAACCAGAAATTCCCATAGCCAAAAATATGGGAATTCTTTTTTTTTTTTTCTAATGTTTATTCACTTTTTGAGAGACAGAGACAGAGTGTGAGCAGGGCAGGGGGCAGAGAGAGAAGGAGACACAGCATCCGAAGCAGGCTCCAGGCTCCGAGCTGTCAGCAACAGAGCCCGACGCGGGGCTCGAACCCACCAACTGTGAGATCACGACCTGAGCCGAAGTCGGACGCTCAACCGACTGAGCCACCCAGGCGCCCCCAAAATATGGGAATTCTTAACCTGGGCAAGAGTTGTCTGAGCTCTGCTGGCAAAGGTGCCCCCAAAGGGTGTTGCTGGAAGGAGCTTGGTTTTCTGTGCCTTCAGGTTACGTAGCTCTTGGCTTCTCCTGGCAGCCGCTAGTCCTTCAAATCCTTTCAAATCCATTTATATCCCCTGTCAGTACCACATCTTGAAAATAACAAGCTTCTTTCATTTTATTATCAGTGGCATGGAGTGGTATTTCCTTTAATTTGATCCAAATTTCCCTCACTCAAGAATTTCAGAATATGGGGAAAAAATATCTATGTTTATCTTATCCATGCGGCTCATGGACTTAACGTTTCAGTGGTTCGCCATCCCTCTAGCATGGACTTTTCAGGTTGATGACTCCAGCTGTCGGACCCATCT